TGGCTGCTAGGATGCTTGCAGCAGCCGAGTGAGGGAGCGTTTTGCTGAAGAAAAATTGGTGCCCTTTGCTTGAGCCATGAACACCAATTTATAAAGGGTGAAGGTTTTCCTTTATTTCCAATAGGTAAATGGAGGTGTTGGAACCAGTCTATTTCTAGTGGTTAAAAGGGAACACTAGGACATACTATTTGCCAGCATATAAAGTTAGGTACCATAAACTGATTATTTCCTATGGGTAAAAGGAAGCACTGGAAACTGCTTGTTTCCAGTGGGTAATAGGAAGTGTTGGAAAAGGCTTGTTTCAAAAGGGTAAAGCTACGTATTTGGAAAATGACTATTTCCTATGGGTAAAAGGAAGTGCTTAAAAAATATACAAATTTATAAATAAACCCAATCCTAGACATGTATTTATAAAAAAACCCAAGCACTATTTAAACATAGAAACACACCCAAAATCAACCCCAAACTCAACTTTTTGGGTGTGTTTATAAATGGGTTTTGAGTGTGTGTAATGATGGGTTTTGGGTGTGTTTATATGTTTCAATAGTGCTTGGGTTTTTTTATAATTTCAACCCCCATTTTGGGTGTTTTAGTGAAACTCCCTAAAAAATATCTCCTTTGCTCACCCACATTGGAGAACTCTAAGTAATGGGCTTGGACTTTGGTGCTCCCAAGTAGCTAGCCCAAAGTCTTCATTATCCAAGAGCTTCCGTGGGCCTTGTGGACCTTCGTAATCTTCCACACCACAATCCCTCATGCAAGTCCCGTAAACCACATGACTTGGGTTCATGTGAGCTTGATAGGTGATTGACATGAGAAAAATGTATTATTAGTTTGACATGACATGTACACTATTTCTATATTTATTTAATGAATTAAATTCCAAAATACAGTTTGGATTAACGCATGACCAACATTATATGTTATATTGGGCTTTAAATATCTTTGGGCTTCCCGTGGCTTTTTTGGGCCTCAACAAAGTTATTTTTGGGCCTCAACAAAGTTATTTTCACTTAAGCACTTTTATATTAGTCCTATTTAGATTTTATCTCTTGAAATTACTTTCGTAGTTGGACTCTATTTTGATTTAAGTTAAAATATTATATTTTCCTATTATGACTTCCACGTTGCTTTATTAAAATCATCATTTCCTATTATGACTTCACAAATATTTTAAACTTATGGGTCTTTTTCTTTGCTAAGAAAGATGTTATAGGAAGTTCCTCTTTCACCAAAATAAACAAAAATATATACGTAATGTATTTATCAAGTTAGAAAATAATATTGAAACTTCCTTCTTTTTCTTTTTTTCTTCTTCTTTGATTCGAAAATATAGAAAGTTGTTCAATATATCTCATACGACCGGTCATGCATACAAAATCAGGTAAGAATATGTCTTTGAAACTGAAAACAAGTAAGCAGATATTTGATGTTGATCTCACGCATGCAATCGAGTAAGTATGCTAGTCAACCTTTCTAGTTTCAAATTACGAAACTAATTAAATATCGAAAGTATTGGGAAACTAGTTTTCTAAAGTCCTATATATATAGGAGCATAGTGCAAACCCTTTATCACAACAGTTCTCTTACGTACAATTAATATAAGGTGTGCTAGCTCAACCTCAAATCTTCAAAGATGGTGGACTTTGCATTGCCCGAGGATCTGAAGATGAAAATAGTAGAGTTAGTAGGTTCCAATGTGAAACCGACGCTGGTTCGCGATTTGACGTTTTGTGAGCACGATTTTGGCAATCGTTTGGTGCTAGTGCTACCCGAGTCTTTGTCTGGCGTGCCAATCAACCTTAAGAAAAGGCAGTCGCTTACCGTACGGATGATCGGACCCTCGCTTCATGTGTTTGATATGACTCTTAGTAGGAGTGCAGATGGTGGGCATGTTTTAAAAGATTGGAACACAGTGATGCAAACGGAGGATTTTGAGGAAGGTGATACTGTGTATCTATGGTCCTTCAAAGGCCCTGACGACATTCTTTGGTTTATTATGCATGCATAAAAGATCTACAATTAATTAGATAGGGCTGATTATTATTATTATTAGGGTTTTATTTATCGCTTACCAGAGTTATTATGTGGGCCTTTTTTTTCTTCTTCTTCCTATTAAATAATCATCTTTTGTTAATTGTTACTCTTTGGTTCTTTAATATTAAGTGTTAGTACTGTTATCTAATTTTCTAATAAATTTCTATGAACTGTTACAATAAGTTTAGCTAGTAACCTTTTTTTCCAGTGTTGAAAGACAGCATGCACCTCGATCACCATAATAAAAAAAAAATAATAATAATAATAATTGATATAGATCTCTTTCATGCATGAAGTTTTGTTCAAACATATTAAGGGGAGTTGTCTTATTGTCTTCTTTTCTCTAATAAAGAAGCATCTCACTGTAAAATACGCATGGATGAAATAGCATTCAAGCGACCTAAAAACCCAAAACATGAAAAAATAAGAAGAAAATGCGCTATATTAACTAATTACCATAACAATATTCTGACATGAAAAGAAAACTGATATGAATCCTGACGATTCTGGTTACACACACATTATTGTTTTTTAAAGATTCCAAGTAGTTCTAAAACGTACTGCAGAAGCTTGCAGCAAACTGGAATTCATTACCGGGGCGCAAAGAGCTTGCAGCAACCACCAAGTCTAAATTAAACTGGGGAATCATTCAACTTTAAATTTACCTGTATGTTGGAGAGGTTTAATGTCTGTTCACAAGTCACCTAACAATAGTTTGGTGTTCAAATTAATCATTGTATGATAAATAAAAAACACATGAAACAAGTTACACCAACCTGGAAAGCGGTGTTGTCTCAAGCACAGAAATCTCTTTAAGATCGTATATGTTCTAAAGCAAAGAAGATACACAAATTCATTGTGTTCACTGACTCTTTTCTGTGAATCAAAATAAAGAGGGACTCAAATTTCCTATTAGAGTCGTCTCGTTTTCAGCTACCTAGAATAAGAAATTAGTTTGTAAATTGTAAAGCCAGAAGCCACTTCTCTGTAGGTTGTTCCTCATCCTCCTTTAGATTGACGGAATATGACAGTTTTATCTGGACATCTTCTGAAGAAAAAGAAATTAGTTTGTAAATTGTAACATTTCAGAATTTCATTGTATTTAGTTACAAATTTTCATTCACCTTTTAATGCGTTTTGTTTATCATCTGTTATCTGTGCATGCTTAGTTGGTACTCTAAATTTTGGTGGTTCACTTCAGTTTGAATTATAGTATTTTGACCTGTAGTGATATGGTAATTGAATTTTGTATAATATGTGAATCGTATTCTAGAATGATTTTATTCTATTTTTTAGTTGAAATGAAACAATAATTGTCCTGTACATAATTTTAATTTTGGTCTTGCTTGCTTGTTAAATTATCTGATAGTCTTGGAGGATTTATTATTTGTTCTAACAGTTCATCATCTCAGTCATATTATTCAAGCTGTTAAAATTAGCTCAGCATGTCAATTGCTCTTGGAGCTAAACAAAGACATTTGAGTTGACAATGATCCTTAGCATGATTTTATTAGTACGGACCCATGAATTTGTGATGGATGCATGGTGAAGCCATGAATTTCTACAAGAGGGGCTAGAGTAAGTGCAAAATTATGGCAATTTTCTAACCCAAAACCTAGTCCTTGTAAGCATTAGGATCGGTCGAGTCAAGTCTAAAGTGTTGTTCAAGTTCAAGGTTTAAAGGTTGGAGTTTGGGGTTAAGACAGAGCCTCAGTGAAATAAATGGGTCACACTTCACCACTAGGACTTCTTGCAATGAGCAGGGTGTGCCCCAAAGGTCTTCTGATATAGGGCTTGTCAAAGCACAAAATTGCCCTTCAGCTAGCTCTTTTCTTGTGTTTCAATCATTTGATGAGCTTTTTTCTTAGACGTATCAAATTGATGGATAAGCTTTGCCTTCCTCGTCCACCTTCTGTCCACGAGTGGTTGATTGGAAAGCTATTGAAAAGTAATGCAGAACTGAGAAAGCATCTGTAGGACTCTTTTCATACAAATATTATTATTTTATCAACTCAAAACTTTTATTTGGGTGTTACATGTTAGTCATCAACAATTGTTTTGGTATGACAGTTTCTACATGGATGCGCCGTGGCCAGGAAATCAGTCGCTTCTGTCCCAATTTCTTGTAGTTCTATGAGTTTCGTTTATTCGTTGAAGTTTCCTTCAAATGTATATAAAATAAAGAAGAAGAAAATTCACCTTTTTTGGTGAACTACCTATGCGTTTTCCTTGATTTGTAGATAGTTGATATTATTTAGCTATCAAAGGCACCACTTGCAATATTCTGTTAAGTGGCATATGACTTTGGTGCCACTAGTTCATTTTCTTTTGTTGTTGTGCCTCTAATTCAATGGACAGCGACTGGTAAGGTAATAATTTATGCAGGGGAAAATTGTTCATACCACAAGATGTTTGATTTTCCATTTTCTTTTTCCTCACCGTCAGGGTCTTTGATAGCTATTCTCTGTGTAAAATTCCCATCCGCTTCATCAAAAGTCCATGCAAGGAAAATATGAAAATCCTGCATGAGAATGACAACTACTTATATTCATTATATTACTGACATAAGCATATGAAATTGAGCAATTCAGCGACGAACCATAATATACCTTGCATTTTATTACAGTATGATAACAAGTACTAAAACCGCGTTGTTGTTACGTGCACTCAATTGTTTCCTCTTCTTTCATTTTCCTAGCAGCTTCTATTGAAATTGAAGGTTGGCTTTTGTCTTTCATGCTCAGCCATTTTTATTATTCAAGGCCATCATATTTGTTTTTTCTTCTATTTCTTAGTACATTCTCCCCAACTCTCAAATCCATTTGTAAAGAAGAAATACTGGCTTCGGAGCTGATTAGTGGACCTTTTCTAAGAGCATAACATAACTAATAAAAAGCTTTCAAGGGCCAAGGGATTAAGTACCTTTCTGCTCATCTTTCAGCTTCCAGTCTAACTAAGAAATCATGGTTCCAGAAGTAGTGGCTGGAGCGTTTCTATCCTCTTTTCTCTCTGTTCTGTTTCATAGGATGTCTTCCCGTCAGGTTCTTGACTTCATTAGGGGACGGAAAAAAACCCATAAGCTGCTTGGGATGTTGAAAATGAAGCTGAGATCGGTTAATGCACTGCTAGATGATGCAGAGGAGAAGCAAATCAGAAACACAGCAGTGAGAGAGTGGCTTGACGAGCTTAAAGATGCTTTCTATGAGGCAGATGACCTGCTGGACGAGATCAACATTAAAGCTCTGCGATGCAATCTGGAAGCTGAATCCGGAAGCAGCAGCACAAGTAAGATTACAATCCTAAATTCCACTTCCTTTGATGAGATCGAAAATGCTATCGAACCCAGGATAGTGGAGATTCTTGACAGATTAGAACTTATTCTAAAAGAGAAAGTTGATCTGTGCATTAAAACAAGTGTTGAAGGTAGACAACAAGCCACATTACCTACAACATCTTTGGTAGAAGACAACAGTGTGTATGGAAGGGATGGGGACAAAGATACTATTATCGAATTATTGCTATCGAATGATGGAGAGAATAATAAGATAAGTATCATTCCTATTGTGGGCATGGGTGGGATTGGAAAGACCACCCTTGCTCAACTGGTATACAAAGATCTTAGAGTGAAGCAACATTTTGACCTTCAAGTATGGGTTTGTGTTTCAGAAGAGTTTGATGTTGTTCGAATAACGCAGATAATTTATGGGGCAGTTAGTTCACAAACTTGTGACATGACAGACCTCAACCTACTTCAAGTAAAACTTCAGGAGGCTTTGACAGGGAAGAAGTTTCTCTTTGTTTGTGATGATGTTTGGAATGAGAATTATATCCAATGGGATTTGTTAAGGCGTCCCTTTGAGTCTGGAGCACATGGAAGTAAGATCATCGTCACAACGCGCAATGAAGGTGTTGCATCTGTTATGGGTACTCTTCCAACTCACCATCTCATGGAAATATCTGACGATAATTGTTGGTTATTATTTGCAAAACATGCCTTCAAAATTGAAGGTCGTACTGAAAATTCAAAACTGGAAGTGATTGGAAGAGAAATTGTTAAGAAGTGTAAAGGCCTTCCTTTAGCTGCAAAAGCACTTGGGGGTCTCTTACGCTCTAAGGTAAATGGGGATGAATGGAAAAATATATTGAGAAGTGACATATGGGAGTTGTTAGACAAGAACGTTAACCTTCTTCCAGCTCTGTGGTTGAGCTATCATTATCTACCTCCGCATCTTAAGCGTTGCTTTGCATATTGTTCCTTATTTCCAAAAGATCACACATTTATAAAATCGAAATTGGTTATGTTGTGGATGGCTGAAGATCTCTTACAACCTAGAAAAAAGAAAACGGCGGAAGAAGTTGGAGAGGAGTACATTGATGATCTCATCTCACGGTCATTTTTTCAACAGTCATCAAGCATTCAATCGTTCTTTACTATGCATGACCTTATCCATGATCTAGCAAAGTTTGTGTCGGGAAAATTCTGTGTTAGGTTGGAGGACAGTGACTCACTCAATAGCGTGATTAAAACCCGTCATCTTTCATTTATGAAAAAAACAGATTGTCATGCCTACAAGAAATTTGACGATTTAAAGTATTTGCACACCTTCCTACCATTATCATTGCTACCTATATGGGCAGGAAAATTTCGAATGCTGGACCTACATCATCTATTGCATACATTACAATATGTAAGAGTTCTCAACTTATCAAGGTATGATATTAGGGAACTACCCGATTCCATTAGCAACTTGATACATCTACGGTATTTGGATATGTCCTATACTTTGATTCAAAAGTTACCAGATTCTGTGTGCATTTTGTATAATTTACAGACGTTATTGCTATCATGGTGTCTTGCTCTTGCTGAGTTGCCAACTGACTTGGGAAAACTAATAAACTTTCGTCATCTTGATATAAGAGGTACAAAGTTAGAAAAGATGCCACCAAAGATGGGCAAACTGAAAGATCTCCAAACGTTAAGTGACTTTGTCTTGGACAAAGATCATGGCGATGACATCGCCGAGCTAAAGGAATTTCAACATTTGCATGGAACACTTCGTATTGCTGGCCTTCAGAATATTGTTCATGCCGAGGATGCTTTAAAGTCCAATATGAGGGAGAAGGAGCATTTGAATGAACTAATTTTGCAATGGGGATGCAATAGTAACGATTCAGAAAAAGATAGGCAGGTGCTCAACAACCTCCAGCCCCATACAAACCTAAAAGAACTCACAATTTGTTCTTATGGGAGCACCAGCTTTTCGAGGTGGCTAGTACATTGTTCCTCCAATCTTGTTTGTCTTCGACTCAAGCAATGTGAAAATATTTTACTCCTGCCACCACTGGGACAGCTACCCTTGCTCAAAGAGCTTGAAATTGATGGGTTAAATGGAGTGGTGTCGATTGACAATGAGTTTTATGCTGATGATACTTGTGCAATTAGGCCATCATTTCAATGTCTTCAAATGTTGAAAATAAAAAATATGTTGGAATGGGAAAAGTGGTCTTATGAAGGTGGAGGTTTTCCTAATCTTCGTGAGCTTCGTCTGCTGAAATGTCCCAAGCTAACCGGTATATTACCGTTAGACTACTTCCCAAGCCTTAATATGCTCAAGTTATGTGGAGCCGGTCTAGAATCCGTCACTAATATTTCACAGGAGCTCATCTTGACAGACTTAACAGAGATATATATCAATGAATGTAAGAAATTGAGGTCATTGCCAGAACAGATGCAGGCCCTTCTCCCATCTCTCCAGTCTATGTCCATAGAAAACTGCCCAGAAATGCACTCATTTTTTGAAGGTGGATTACCTTCAAAGTTAAAATCTGTTTCCATCCGTTCTTGCAAAAAGCTCATTGCAAACCGTGTGCAGTGGAATCTACCAAGACTCACCTCTCTCAGACACTTGACAGTCAGCTTCGAAGAGTGCGAAGCAGTAGATTCATTTCCAGAAGAAGGGCTGCTGCCTTCCAGTCTTACTTCTCTATGGATCTCCAGTCTTTTGAATCTTAGGACCATAGAAGGCGAGTTGACACACCTGACCTCTCTTCAAGAGTTGACAATTCAGATGTGCCCTGAGCTGCAGTGCTTGCCAGATGAAGGGCTACAGACTTCTCTCTCTCATCTACAAATCTCGGAATGTCCTTTGTTAAAACGACGGTGCCAACGAGAGACAGGGGAAGACTGGCCCAAGATTGCTCACATCAACAACATAGAGATCGATGGGAAACAAATATGATTTGCAATATCTTGATGCATGGTTCTTCTAGTTCTCCTAATGGTAATTATTCAATTCTCTCTGGGGTACTAGTAGTTCTGCAGTCTGTACTTCTAAGTTTAATTTCAGTAGTGAATATAGTGGTGTTTACTTCTTTGTCACTGTGAAACATATTGATACTCTATATTTTCTTAAGCCAATTTCCTCCCATCTACTTTATAATATACCTGCCATTGATTTTCTGTTTTATAAAGGTTTGCATGGTAATGCTCAATGCATGCATCCCTGCATATTGGTCACTGAGTTTAAATCTACCAAACTTTAAATCTAGCATGTGTATGTCATAAGTCATTTAGTTTTTACAGATTGCTATCCAAGTTGGGGGCATTTAATCATCACAACAGCAATTCAAAAATTCTAATTGCAAATGACTCCAAACTTTGGATGTCTAACTATCAGTGTCTTCAACACGTTCAATTCTGAACGTTTAAATACCTCATAATGATGTTTGTTCTTCTTTATGAAAATATGAGGCCCGTTTAAATACCTCATAATGATTAATGAGCTAATTTCAGTTCCTGATCCGAAATTGTCAATTTTGCCTTTTGTCATATCTGAATCTATTGTGGAAAGCTGCAATTGTAAGCTCCTTGCATTGATGCTGAAAAGATTGTGGATTTTGAAATAAATTTTCTATTCTTTATATGATGAAGAAGGAGCCTTTGAATGGACTAGTTTTGCAATGGGGATGCAATAATAAAGACTCATTTGACTCTCATTGAGTGATCAAATGATATCGGATTTATGTGATTTTTTTGCAAAGATGATCTTTGAATGAATATCTATAAAATAGATGGCTTGTATTAGTGAAATACAATACGGAGTAGGCCCTATAAGGGTGTCCCTCAAATAAGTTGTTTAAGAGATTCCTCAACTGAAGCTTTATATATATACAATTCCCGTCTATTAAGAGATCCCTCAAGTTATTTAACAAATTTTTTTTAATGATCCAAATTGTCTATATATATACTTTAATGGACTAACGATATTTTACACCATCGTGGTTTAGGTTTCATATCGAAATGGGCCATGAGGTTTCAATTTCATCAATTTGATACCCAACGTTTCAAAATCTGACCAATTTACACTCTCTGTTAGATGTTGATGTCACAAATTTGGAACGAAAAAAAAAAAAAACCCAGCCCCTCTCCTTTGACCAACACAGCCGCACGTCCCCAGTCCCTCCTCCGGAAAGGGATTGATCTTGTTTGGCTGGATCAAATAGTAATCAGGAAAGTTTTTGTATTAATTCACAAATATTTTTAAACTTATGGGTCGTTTCTCTTTGTTAAGAAAGATGTTATACGAAGTTTCCTCTTTCACGAAAAAAACAAAAATATATACGTAATGTATTTATCAAGTTTGAAAATAAATACGGAAATACAATTGAAACTTCCTTCTTTTCCTTTTTTTCTTTTTCCTCTTTGATTCGAAAATATTGAAAGTTGTTCAATCATATGAACTGTCATGCATACAAAATCAGGTAAGGATATATGTCTTTGAAATTGAAAATAAGTAAGCAGATATTTGAAGTTGATCTCCTATTCCATATCTCATGCATGCAATCGAGTAAGTATGCTAGTCAACCTTTCTAATTTCAAATTACGAAAAACTAATTAAATATTGAAAGTACTGGGAAACTAGTTTTCTAAAGTCCTTTATCACAACAGTTCTCTTACGTACGATTATGGTGTGCTCAACCTCAAATCTTCAAAGATGGTGGACTTTGCATTGCCTAAGGATCTGAAGATGAAAATAGTACAGTTAGTGGGTTCCAATGTGAAACCTACGCTCGTTCGAGATTTGACGTTTTGTGAGCACGATTTTGGCAATCATTTGGTGCTAGTGCTACTCGAGTCTTTGTCTGGAGTGCCAATCAACCTGAAGAAAAGGCAGTCACTTACCGTATGGATGATCAGACCCTCGCTTAATGTGTTTGATATGACTCTTAGTAGGAGTGCAGATGGTAGGCATGTTTTAAAAGATTGGAACTCGGTGATGCAAACGGAAGATTTCGAGGAAGGAGGCACTGTGTATCTATGGTCCTTCAAAGACCCTGACGAAATCCTTTGGTTTGTTATTGTTTGTACCATAGGTGACCTTACCACTCATTTCATGACACATGGAAAGAGTACGGAGTTAGGAAACATTTTGGCTCATCGACAGACCGGTCAAAGGTATGAATCGGCATAGGTGACCGATTCATCACAAGGCACTCTAGTCACCCACTGATCAGCTCACGCTCCCAAAACATAACCATTGTACGAGAGGATCTCGAAAAGCCCCCATTGATATTTTGCGAACTCGTGTCGACCTCAGAGGACACTTCCACGAGTCCCACATCGAAACTAAGTACCAAGAGCATCCCAAATGCTCTCTATAAATAGGATCCCTTGCCCTAGACAAAGCGTAAGATCTCTTGGCTTGATTTATGCTATAAATACTTGCTAAAACAGAGAATTCTCCCCATTCTTACTTTGCCATCAGAGGGCCTTGGGTTGGTACCACACTGGTACTTTCGACCTCATCCATTATTCCTTTTCTTAGTCCAGAACAGTGCATCATATCTCAGTATTGCATGCTCACACAAAGGGTCCACCAGGCCGAATCATCACATCACCTGTAAGTTGCCTCTTTCTCTATCTGTTTAGTTTTATCCCTCGCGACTGATGGTCCCATCCTTGCCTCGCCAGTGGAGCGAGCAATGCTCCTCCTCCCAGCACACCCCGAACAGAAACACCCGTTCGGCAGAACACCCTAGAGGTTAGGATGGAAGCCCTACAACAAGAAATTGCAAAAATGCAGGAGCACAACAATATCCTTTCCTCCAAACTCGACGAGACTCAGAGACAGTTGTTCGAACAACAATCACTCTCGACCCAATTATAGCACGGTTTGGAGCAGACCTTGCAGCTTCGGCAGGAGCAGTCCATCAGGAGCATGCCAAAACCTAGTGGTCATGAGAAAGGAAGCAGACTAGCAACAAGCATGCCATCCACTTCCCGAAGGCTGTTCGTACCCTCTCCAGAGTAACGCTACCAAGAATACCAAGATTACTTCGACTGTCTGGATAGACTTAACGATCGTCACAAAGAGCTTCAGACATCCCCAATCCCGATCCAAACAAAACTTGACGATCGACACCTGGACGCACTCGGACCGAAATCTCCCGTACACAGAAGGTACGACACAATCAGTTTAGAAGAGACGAACGAATCAGACTATGTTTCGACTTCACCCGGTCGATCCTACTACCGATTGGCAAGACTAGGACCGTCCAGACGAGAGCATCCCAGCTATTGATCAGCTAGAGAGGATGATCGGCAGAAAGGAGGTCGCGAAACGCAAGGACACAGTGCCCCCCAACTTGACCCCAGACATCGGAACCCTTCTGCGATGACTTCCCCCCTGCCGATCCTACTATTCGCCTCCTTCTCCAGAAGGTCAACTGGATTGAGGAAGAATAGAATCAAACTCAGACACCAACTTTGGGAAAGGTACAACCAGGACCATTCACTAGCCGAATCTGAGTTTTCCGACATGACAAAGAAGTCCAAGCACTCCGAATATCATTTTACACAGGAGTGGAAGATCCCGTGACCTACATCTATACTTTCCAATCAACCCTGGATTGCAAAGGGCTCACCGATGAAGGCCAGTGCTTGCTATTCCCATCCACCTTAGCTGCAGTCGCCCTAAATTGGTTCTATCGACTGGAACCAGGTACAGTAGACTCTTTCGATCAATTGAAACAAACTTTCCTCAATTATTTTATGATACAGATCGATTGCCTTTACTCTGCCGATGACCTTTACACCATCCGACAAAGAGATGATAAGCCCTTAAGGGAGTATGCTACCAGGTTCAGCCACGAATACTCTTGATGCCCTGAAACTGATGATCAAGCAGCCTTCGGCGCTTTCAAAAGCGGCCTCCGGGCATCTCAATTTCGCTATTTGGTCCACATTAGCAACTGGACAACCTACGGCGAATTGATGAAACAGGCAGTCATTCACGCCAAGGTAAAGAATTTTAACTCCAAATGAGTATCTTCGGCATCCACCTGCCCAGTGACAAACGTGGGTCAAATCTCGGCACCAGCTTATGGCCGTTTCCGACCTTACCAAGCGACAAATCAAGCTCCCTACCGAACGACACCTACTGTGTTTGCTCCTTACACAACGGGAGACAAGAGAAAGGACAGATTTCTGGGCTGACAAGATTGAAGCAAACACAATAAGGATTCGGGTGGCCAAAACGACTTCAGAAGCTCGAAGAAGGCTCAACTAGAGGAAGCCTTTACCTTGCTCAATTCGACTTATGAATACGTTATCATGGCCGAGAATTAGATAATTCCGAAGCCAAACAATCGGAAGCTCCCTTGAAAAATCGACAAAGACACCGGAGTGTTCTATCGATACCACGAATACAACGTCCATGATACCAAATCGTGCATCGCCTTCCGAAAGGTTGTTGAGCACCTCATCAGCGAGGGTAAACTGGATCAATACCTCAGTACAAAATCGACTCCGGAGCAACCAGCTAATCGACAGATCAACATGATCAGTGGAGGAACACCCATAGCCAACATCAGCAATCACTCTATTACAAGGTACATGCGTGTCGTTTGGCATCTTCAGATCCTCAACATAGCTGGAGGGCACAATGACAAAATTCGACGAATCGACTGCGAACCCATCACCCTTTCCTATGAAGAAGAAAAGCGCATTATCTTCGCCCATTCTGATCCTCTGATCATCTAGGCCGATGTAGCAGATTTTAACGTGGGCCAAATCCTCATCGACACAGGCAGCTCAGTCAATGTGCTTTTCACCGATGCATTCAACGCATTCGGCATAGAACAATGGCACCTCAACACAGATATCACCTCTCTTTTGAGTTTCTCAAGTGATGTTGTCGAACCAATCGGAAGTATCTAGCTCCCATTTTCCGTTGGCACC